ATTTAAATGTTCCATCCACTATTTAACATTTGAATATGTTGTATAGATTATTTTTCTTTTTTCTTTCTGTCATATACTGGTTACAGTGGTGGATGCCCATATTAAACATAGCCAGAGGCCAAAAGTTCAGACTTCAGACTTATCTAAATGCTCAGTTTCGGAAGTCTGTGAGATGGTATATTCCTAATTGGTCATCTCAGGCGCACACCTCTGGCTTTGAGCTCACCAACCTGCTGTTTAAACCAGTGTTTTTCTCCATTTTTTCCCCCTTTATTATTGTGAAACATCATATTAGTCTCTGTGTCTGACCCACTTCTGACAGACACAAATATCCATCCTGTACACAAGAACAGGTAGTTGCAAATGCTGAATATTTCATAAATAGAACAACAGGCCTGAAATTGGTTTTAAAGGCAACCGAGCTTTGATCAGCATGTCAGGGCGGAGAGCAAGGGCAAGATGAACAAGCATAGCTTTGTACTGGATGAGAGAGAGAGAGTCCAACAGTCAGGGCGGGTGGGGGTGGAGGGTTTGGGGGGGTGAAGCTGTCAGTGTGTTTGTGGAAGGGGGAAATGCAAATGAGAGAATGAGAAACAGGCAGAAGAGGAATGGAAAGTAAAGAGGGAGTCAGAGAATGAAAGGGAAAGAGAGAGAATGAGAGCTGAACAATAGCAGAGAAACACGTCAGTGAGTCTAACTCACTGAGTGACGGAAAGAAAGAAATAACCCACGACATCCTCAGAATGATTAACAATGTTAATGTGGCATTTATCCCAACCAGCAGCATGGACCTTGTCATGTTCAGTTTACCTGAAGGCAAGACAACAGGTCTGTTAGCTTCAGGGACAGAAATCCTGCAACAGTAATCCTCTGATCCAAAAAACCCCAAATAAATAATATATGTACACTCCTGTTGATTTTATACCTCCTGTCTCTTTCTAAAGGAATAGCTTGAGATTTTTAGAATCATAGTTATTTTCTTTCTTTTCTTTCCGATACCGAGTATCAGTCAAGCAGAGGAACTCAATAAAGATCTAAGAAGGACAAATCACAAGTTGAAAAAGTTTCTTAGATACATTTATAAATAATTGGAGATTCCAAGATTATAGTTCAAACAATTGTAGGCAAGTACAAGTTACAGATGTTTAACCACTTTGCACAAACTGTCGACCTCAAATGAGACAAAATTTAGGATAATCAGGAACAACCCAGGAACCGTAACCTGGAAACTGCTGGAACACCAGCGTCACTGTCCATAGTGAAGTGAGTTGTACATGGTCATGGACTAAGAGGGTGCCAAGCAAGAAAGAAGCCCCTACTCCAAAACTGACACCTTCAAGCTCGACAATAATTTGCAGCTGCTCAAACAAACAAGCCAAATGCTGTCTGGAGAAATGTTTTACAGTCAATTGAGAACAACGAGCTGTTTGGTCACAATGAGAAAAGGTTTGTTTGGAGGAGTAAAGATGAGGCGTTCAGTCCTCAAAACACTACAAATTGTTAAGCACGGTGGTGGTAGCGCTGTTTTGCTGCCAGTGGTACTGGTACATTGCACAAAGTGGATGGAATAATAAAGGACGACTACTTCCAAATTGTTCAAGTTCATATCAGCTAGAAAACTTGCACAGAGTTGGGTATTCCAATGAGAATGAAC